GCGGCTGCCGCTGCCGCGCCTCCTCTCCTACCTGCGGGACGACGGGCTCTGCATCCCCAAGGAGGAGGCTGCCTTTCAGCTGGCGCTGCGCTGGGTGCGCGCTGACCCCGCCACCCGTGCCCCGCTGCTGCCGCAGCTCCTGGCTCACGTCCGCCTGCCCTTTGTGCGCCGCTTCTACCTGCTGGCCCACGTGGAGAGCGAGCCGCTGGTGGCCCGCTGTCCCCCCTGCCTGCGCCTCCTGCGTGAGGCCCGCGACTTCCAGGCCGCTCGCCTCGACCGCCACGACCGGGGACCCTGTGCCCGCATGCGCCCCCGGCCCTCCACTGGCCTCGCTGAGATCCTCGTCCTCGTTGGTGGCTGCGACCGTGACTGCGATGAGCTTGTCACCGTCGACTGCTACAACCCACGCACTGGCCACTGGCGCTACCTGGCCGAGTTCCCCGAGCACCTGGGAGGGGGCTACAGTGTTGCTGCCTTGGGCAATGACATCTATGTCACTGGTAAGGCACACGGGGAATGGGGGGAAGCACCAGGGTGGAGGGTTCTGTTGAAAATATGTAGGTTATAGCAGTGACACTTGTCTTTTCCTGGGTAGCAGAGAGTTTGGGACTTGGCTTGGACGCCTGCAGTTTGCCAGCAGGCATGGAGACTCCTGGAGTCGGTGCTGGATTTAGCAGCTGGTCGCAGTCCAGGAGCTATTTTGTCATGAGTAATGCTGTTGAGCATGCTGGCAGAAGTCACAGATCTTGTAGTTGGAACTCTTTAACCGTCACTGAGGACAGGGGTGATGTAAGAAGTAAGAAGGTTTTGAGTTTCTCTCTTTGAAGAAAGAGTTCAGGCTCAGAGCCCCCTGAATCACAAGGCATGCTTGAGGCAGAGGCATGTCAGAAAGCCCCAGATTCTTTTGCCAGCCCCTGTGAGTCACAGTACTTCCCCCTGCACAAATCCTGCCTCCTTGCTGGGGCTACAATTACTTTTGTCAAGGGGACTCCAATATGTAAATTTGGCTGTTAGGCTGCATGCAGATGCCGCCTTTGAACTACATCTCTGTGACAGCTGTAACAAACTGAGGCCCAGGACACCGAGTGCTGTGGAACAGTGTGGCCTTGGTATGCAGGACACACTGGCAAAACTTAGAAGAGCAAGTCTTAATGCAGGTGAACAGAAAACTGTGTGTTCTCTAGTCACAAGCAGAAAACAAGGCCCTGCTTTAAGAACAGGGCTGTAAAAATGACAGGCTACCACATGGATGCAGCATGTTTTTGCAGAAGCCCTTCCATCCCGTGGGAGCTTCCTGGAGTGATCCCAGGCGGGTCAGTCCTGCTGGGAGCTGTGTGCAGGCTGCTGCTGGGGATCTTGGGTTGTTCTGGTCAGTGTTAGTGTGATACAGGCAAGGCTGGGAGGTTCCCAAGCTGCCAGCAGCACCACTGCCTCAGCAGCTTCTGGGCAGCGACTTGGGTGGGGTGCAAAACGGGAGAGACGTGGGTGTTAGAGGAGGTAGTGAAACATGGAAGACTCATTTTGAGTCATGGCTGGATATGGGCTAGGAACGACATGAGAGAAATCCTCCCTGGCTTGCTGGGAATGAAACAGTGCAGAACTTCCTTTAAAATCCTTGTGGTGCACGTGCTGAACCAAGCCCTCTCCTGCATCACCTTTCCCTTTGTGGAGCCAGGCTCTTGACACGTGTCATGCTGTGCCACAGGGGGCTCAGACGGGTCCAGGCTGTACGACTGTGTCTGGAGGTACAATTCCAGCGTGAACGAGTGGACGGAGGTGTCACCCATGCTGAAAGCCAGGGAATACCACAGCTCCACGGTCCTGGACGGGCTGCTCTACGTGGTTGCCTCTGACAGCACGGAGCGCTATGACCACACACTGGACAGCTGGGAGGCCCTGCAGCCCATGCTGTATCCCATGGACAACTGCTCCACCACCTCATGCCGTGGAAAACTCTTCGCCATCGGCTCCCTGTCTGGAAAAGAGTCCATGGTCATGCAGTGCTATGACCCCAGCAGTGACCTCTGGTCCCTTGTCAACTGCGGCCACCTGCCCCCCTGGTCCTTTGCCCCAAAGACCGTCACGCTCAATGGTCTCATGTACTTCATACGGTGAGTAGTGGGAGCAATCACTTCCCTCCCTCCCCGTGTCCCCTTGAGGAGAGCCTGCAGCTTCCCTGGGAAGGTGGATTTTACAGGTGGTGGAGAGAGCACTGGGTTGGGACAGCACAGCAGTACTTCCCCTGACGGTGCAGGGAGGGCTGTAACACCTCTTTCCTTGTATTGGTGGGCCTCAAAGAGCTGCCCATAAACTTGTGTTAAAATGTCTGAGGGTAACCCAGGGCTGGGGAATGGGCAGGTGTAAATCCGTCTGAAGTCAGCAGCACTGCTTGGAAATTGGCTTCTTGGTTTCTTCGGCTCCTGGTTCAGCCCCCCTCGTTGCTATAAATAAGCACATAAGCTCCAAGAAAACGTTAAACTCTAATGCAGGAGAGGACGTCTTCCGTCTCAGCAGAGATAAGAGGGCTGAAGATGAAGTGATTGGTCACTATTTTTAAGCACCTTTCCAAATTGGGACTTAATTACCCATCTGAAGCTGTCCTGGTGGCGCAAATACTTCAGTTATCCGCTTAATTAAAAATAAACGGGAAGGCATGCTAGGGCTGGAGCATTTCATCTCCCTGTGTTGACTCTGAGCAAACAGAGACTTCTGTGATGGCCCCCAGGCACGTCTCTTTTTTTAATCTCCTCTTGGCTTTGCATAAAGTAGCAGCTTTGACCCAAGACTTTTTATTTGATCCTTTCGGGTCCAGCCAAGTGTCTTGCTGGCGGCTGTTCTGGTCAGCTGGTTTCAGTCCATACTGCCAGGGTGTTGCAGCTGCTCAGCTCCTTGTCACAACCTGATTCTATAGAATTTCTTTATTCTTACCCATTTTAAAATACTGATGATTGACACTTCAGGATTTTCAGATCATTTTGCATCTGCAAGAGTCAGTGAGGAGACGATTGGGGTTAGGTGTTCTTCCCTCATTTCATATGCTGCACGTGGGCTGCTGCTCCATGTAGAGCTGTGGGATAATCTTTGGAGGGCAGAGGAGTAGGTTGCAAGTAAAAGTAGCAAGTTGGTTTAATAGCTCAGGCTAAAGGCTCTGAGTGATGATCCCTCATGCTGGGATCAGTTTTATACCTGAAAATAAAGCACACAGAAAAATGAGGTTCAGGTGCTCTCTACAATTGCCCCAGAGCTGCCCCAGAGTGGGGAGAGGAGGCCCTGGTCTGGCTGCTGCCCCCGCTTGGAGCTGCCTTGCAGCATCTTGATCCCATCTGTACCTTGGAAGGACTGGCAGCTCCTCTCCAGCTGCCTTGACCTCGTCCTCTACGCATTCTTGTGTCAGCAGCGCATGTCTCTGAGTCACAAACATCCCTCACCTGTTACTGTCGCCCTCCTGTCTGCTGAGCAGGGTGGGTAAGAGAAACCCTGGGGGATTATGCTGCCTCCCCAGCTCTTCTCTCCCCCTGCCCATCTAAATTTGGCTTTGATGAAGAACTCAAGCAGCGTTTCTAGAATGCAGAAGGAGTAATTTTGTGTTCTCTTCCCCAGAGATGACTCGGCTGAAGTGGATGTTTACAATCCATCAAAGAATGAATGGGATAAAATCCCTGCCATGCTTCAGGTAAGACATTTTCTCGCTTCAAGAATATCTTAAGTATTACAAATGAGTTTCATTTAGCATTGGAAAACCAAGAGCTTTTCAGAATCAGAAACCTGTGCATGTGGAGCTGGTTTAAGTATGTTGGAGTCACTGGGAAGAGTCCCAGATGTGGTGACATGTCTGGGTAGGCAGCACTGATTCAGAGCCCAACCTGCAGCTGACAGGCATGAAACTTCCTCCAAGGAACAGCTCCCAGATCCCACTGACCCCCTTGATCAGCTGGCGGATCAGGGAAACAGCCCCTGATCATGGTGTGTATTCATTGTTACGTTGCAGGTTCACGTTGGGGGTAGCGTGGCTGTGCTCGGTGGGAAGCTCTATGTCTCGGGGGGCTACGATAACACGTTTGAGCTCTCGGATGTGCTGGAAGCCTACGACCCCGAGACACGAACGTGGAGCGTCGTGGGCCAGCTCCCCGAGCCCATCTTCTGGCACGGCAGCGTCAGCATATTCCGGCAGTTCATGCCAGAAACCACACAGGAGGATGACAGCATCACACTGGACAACACCATCAGCTTGAGCAGGCAGAACCAAAACCTTCACAACCAGAACCTCAATGAGCTGCCTTAGCACAGGAAGCGGCTTGATGAAGTCCCTCATCCAGAACCTGGGCTGCTTTGGGAGAAGGCTGAGGCAAACCAGTGCTTGGAAACAAAACCATTCTGATCACAGAGGGAGCAGGAACTCTGGCTGTTGGATGTGATGCTGTGGGCCTGCAGGCAGCGAGGCCTTCACTGCTTCCCTTGGCCCTTCAGGGCGGGAGACGTCACCGTGCTGCCCACAGGGACCAGAGAGCTGATCCCTGGGGAAAGCACTCGTGGTGAATCATGCCACAGCACCACTGCTTATGGCTTGTGAGCAGACACCTTTCACTGGGAGCTCCTTCACCCTGTAATGCTTCGTTTGCCACCAAACTCCTTCCTTCAGTTTCTGTCTTGGGAGGCGTCTGTCTGGTAGGGCAGTGGTCTGGACGCCCCCCTGTATTCTGTGCCTCGGAGGGAGACAGGCTTCCTGTGCACGTGTTGGGGTTGAAAGGTAGTTATTTTAGGATTTTTTTCTTCTTTTTATTTGGGGTTTGCATTTTTCTTTTGGCCTGCATAAGATTTGCCTTTATATTTGCCCAAGTGCCCTAGCCAGGTGGGCTCTGTTTATCTACCTTCACTGAAGAGCAGCTGCGTGCAGTTTACTTGTGGAATGTTTCTGGAAGAAGTGAACAGCTGAACCTGCAGTAGGGCTCCCTGAGAGCATGTGCTGCACCTTCAGGAGAACCCTGAAGTGTGGCAGAAGCTAAGGTATGGCTGGATGCATTTGCTTTTTTGGTCTTTAAATTTTAGCTAGCAGAGAAAAAGTTTGCATTTAAACTGAATTCAGAGATGGAAACCCCGTATACTCGATCTCTCTCCTCCAGGCTTGCCCCTGGATCGAGGAGCATCCGAGCCCCATTTCCACAGCATCAGCGTCCTCACAGCTTTACAGAAACGTGTTTTTCCCCAGTGCTGTGACGCTGCTGCACCCCTCGGCCACGGGGAACCCGGGCCGTTCTCCAGCCTGGAACACTGACAGTGCCTTGAGACCGCCGCGTGCCAGCAGGGAACGCGCAGAGCCCGGCGCGGCTGCCCCAGGGTGTCAAACCTGTGGACAGAGTAGGGGGGTGCAGGGGCCCACAGTTCGGGGCAGCTGCTGCTTTTTCGGGAGCAATGGCCAATTCCCGACGGCGCCGCAGCCCGAGGCATTTCTGCTGAGCTATAAATAACGCACCCCGGCGCACGCGGCCGTGCTTGCTGCTGGACCCCCCAGTCCCACCCGCTGAGCAGCTACAGATCTGTATTTATTTTTTGTAGAATTCATTGTGTTGAATCCTCAAGTACAGTTGAACTCCATCCTTTGAAACAAAGGCATTTTACATTTGCAGATAATGTATTTTTATTCTCAGTTTGTTTTTAAATTTACTTGCAGCAGTCAAGTTAAATAAAACCTGTTACACAATTCTGTTTTCTGTGAGGGTAAGGGACCTGGGGTGAGATTTTACTGGAAGTTTCTCACTCCAGATATGATTAAACTGGAGCCTCTCTGTCTCCTTGGTGAGTAGAGGGGGAAAGGGGAGAGGGTGTTGCTGCAACTTTGGGGTGTGGGGATACACGAGAGATCTCTCCCCACGCTGGCACCACTGAGGCCATGGTTCACCCTCTCCCAGCAACCCTGGATTGGGTTATTTAGGACAGACGTGAGCACAGGCACTTTGTGGCTGCTGGAGTGTGTTTCAAGTGAACTCACAGCTCAGTCATCCCAGTGCTGAGCAGACACGGGTCATGCCCCGCCTTTAATGGGGGAAAGAAAGAGCAACTGAAAAGCTTAACAAAACAAAGGAGAAATAAGGCACAAGTTAAATGGAGGGGTTAAGGAATGGGCAGAGCCGCTCTCTGTGGGGGAAGGTGAGCTTTAATCACAGGCAAAGTGAGAGGGCTGGTGGAGAGGAGAGGGCAGCACCAGCTCCTCCAGCGTCAGAAAGTGAGTCACAATATGGCACAGGGAGGTCAGTCCCTTCCCACCACACACTGTCTGTGAATGAACACTGACTGGAGTGACCATGCTGACACATTTCATTTGACACTCAATCAGAACGTCATGGTGACTTCCTTTCCCTGCAGCCTGGGATGGGAGATTGGCAGAAAAGGAGGGTACGGAGCTCAACAGAACAAGTGTGGCAGAAAGTGGTTCAGCTTAATGCTTTACTGTGTTTCAGTGGAAGGGATGGGGTGGCCACACTATGTCTCACAGTCTTCAGGAATCGTTGTGGTTATAATCAGCGACTGCTCAATCACGTCTGCAGGTGACAAGTTCTCATTTGAGCAGAGTTTCTGCGCAGGGACCTCCTCAGGCAGTGGCCCACGGGCAAGCGACTCCACGATCACCTCGGCTGAGCCCACCTCCAGCTCTGGCGGCGGCTGCAGCACCACCATCACATCCTTCTCGTCATCGATGATCAGGTTCCGCAGCTTCCTCTGTCGAGGGTTGTAGTTCTCCACTCGGTCGTGGATCTCCATGTGGCGCCTCAAATGAGCCTGCAAAGGAAGGGGGATGTGGAGAGACCCAGTGAAGTCTGGCTCCCCAGTACAGCATGAAGGCCCCAGAGCCAGGAAAGGCCTCACCTGCCGTGTGAATTTGTAGCCACACTCAATGCACTCAAACTTCCTCACTCCCTTGTGCCGGCGAACATGGACACGCAGCTGTTCTACCGCTGGGAAAGGAAGCGACAGCCTGTTGGCAGCAGCTCCATGTCATACAGGCTCACAGCAATGCCAACCCACCCACAGAAAGGAGGCAGCTCCTGCAGAGCCCCATGAGAGCTGGAGCCCTCACGTTACCTTTGAATGTCTTCCCGCAGATGTGGCAGAAGTGAGGCCGCCCCTCCTGGTGCCGGCTGGCAACATGCCTCAGCAGCGGCCCCTTCTCCGTGAAACGCTGCTCGCAAAACTCACAGCTGAACGGCCGCTCCCCGGTGTGCGTCCGGTTGTGCTTGTCCAGACTCGCTGCCGTTAATGGGGGGACGGGGAGAGTGGCCAGTCAGAAGCACAGCCCATGCACTGCATCCCAGGGGCTGTCAGGCTGGGCCAGGCTGGCAAGAAGGCAAGAGCAGCAGAAGCAGTAACTGCCTGCTCCACCTAAGGGTCATGAGCAACACAAGCTCTTTCCCCCTCTGCACCATGAGAGCAGTGCAGTAATGTGCTTTATTTGGTATCAGCCCACACTCACAAGAGCATGGCTTTGCTCCTGGGGAAGCTGCTTTTTGGAGGTCCTGCATGCTGGAGCACACACAGCCAGGGGTACCTTGTGTCCGGAAGGTCTTGCCGCAGAGATGGCACTGGAAGGGCTTCTCGCCAGTGTGCGTGCGCAGGTGCATGTTGAGGTTGGCTTTCTGTGTGAAGGCATGGTGGCAGAACTCACACACGTAGGGCCGCTCGTTCCTGTGGGCAGGGAAACGTCACCGTCATCTCTGCCTCTGCCAGCTTCAGCCCCTTGGGTCTCAGCTCAGCACCTCCAGGAAGAGGGTGACTTTCAGCCAACCCCCAGGCCTGTGGGCAGGGACTGCAGCCAGGAGAGCCAGGGTGACAGAGGACACGGATCACATTGTACCTGTGCTTGGCCTTGATGTGCATCTGGAGGCCATTCCGGCTCGAGGCCCTGTGCCCACACTCCTCACACACAAACAGCTTCTCTCCACGGTGCTTGAAGGCCTCGTGCAGGCGCAGCTCTGTCCGGGACAGAAAGCACTTGGAGCAGGTTGAGCACTGCAAGGCCACAGGAGAGGAGAGTGTTAGGGTTGGGGTACACCCACCCCAGATGTACTCACACCCAGCCCTTCCCCGGCTGCTCCAGGGACCTCCCTGCGGAAAACAAGGCAGCACCCCCAGCTGAGATCCCAGTGAGATAAGACAGCCCCAAAGAGATGAAGTGCTGGTCAGTGCTTGGATCTGTGGGCTGCTCCTGTACCCAAAAGAGCCCATTTCCAGTAGCCCTGTGCCCCACCCCCTCACTGACAGAGCCAGACATAGTACTGTGCCATTCCTTAGGCCAGATCCACACTCAATCACACCCTCCCCAAAACTCCCGGTCCCTACCGCGTGGGGCTTGGGTGCACCATGCAGCTTTATCATGTGGCTCTGCAGGTCCTTCTTCTGCATGAACTGCTGGGAGCAGGAGGAGCACTGCAAGACAGGAGAATGGGGTCAGCTTCCAGCTGCCCCAAAGAGTGGTTTCAGAGCAAGGAGAGGACCAGCAGGGAAGTAGAACATGGATTCCTGGTAGAGCCAGAGGAAGCCTTTGGCTGTGATGCCTCCCTGGATCACATTTTGTTTCAGAGATGGGGAACAACTCTGAGTGGGCTGTCATACAACAGAGAAGGGAACTGGTGTGCTCAGCTCTTCCCAAGCTGGGCTGCCCTAGAAGGGAAAGGCTCTCCTCTGCTCAGTGCCAGTGTCCAGCAGCATGTTGGGATGTTGGATGCAGGCCCTGCTGACCTTGTATGGCATCTCCCCGGTGTGTGACACCATATGCAGCCGCAGCTCCATCCGCCGCTTGAACACCTCTGGGCAGGCCGAGCACGTGAATACCTGTGAGAGACGGGGGGGCGTTGGCTTCTGCAGGACCCAGAGCCTGACCTGGAGCCCACAGCTCAGCACATGGCACTGGCACCCAGCTACAGCATTCAGCCCGCACCCACAGGAGCTGAATCTTGTACAGTACAGACTCCTGATGCACTGAAACACAGTGAGGGCTGTGTTGTGTATCAGGGGTGAGTCCCAGCTGCAGGGGCCCAGGCTGTGAGGGTCCTGGCTGTGGAACACATGCCACACAGTGCTGACAGGGGTCTGTTTGGAACTGAGGGTGGGCTGGGACTGGGAAAAAGCTTCAATTCGCCTCCTGCCACACACGTGGCAGCCGCATTCCAGCCCAGCAGGGCAGCTCCTGGGCGTACCTGTTCCGATCGGTTCATGCAGTTCCTGGCTTCGTGTTCCAGGAGATTCTCTTTTCTAAAGTAACATTTGCCACACTTGGAACACTCAAATGGCTTCTCTCCAGTGTGTTTCCTTGAGAGATGTAAATACAGAATCCCATCACTGCCTGTCAACAGCATCTGCACAGACAGGCCCAGGAGGTCACAGGGAAGGGTGAGGTGGGTACTTCCCCCCACCCCTGCAGTGCTACTATTCACAGCTGCCCTAAAGCTGCTCCTATGCCACTTTTGTGCACAACTGTCAGTGCCCACTGTGCTCCCCGGAACACCCTTTCTGCAGGGCCAAGATTCTTCCCCAACAGAAGTGAAACAAAGCTTGAGCTCTCACTGCAGGGCCATGCCCCACTCTGTGATCCACCCTGGAGCTCCTCACACAGCCCAACCATGTGTCCCCCACAACCCCAGAAACTCCCCCACCAGCCTGGGGCAATCTCAAATCGCAGGAGGATTTGCCATCGGCCACCTGCAGCCAGTGCAGCCCCCGAGGAGCCACAGCTCAGGACAGTCGCTGCGGCTCTGGGACTCCTTTCATTGATACATACAGCCCTCCCCCAGGCCACAGCACCCCCAGGGGCAGAGGAGACCCTCCTTTTCCACCCCGGGGGATGCCGAGGTGTTGGGCCCAGCTGGCAGGGACGGGGCCACCCGTTCCCCCCCCGGGAAAGGGCCGAGCCGTGAGGGCGGCGCGTCTCCCCGCGCGCAAGGGAAGGAGAAGCCGGAGCGATTACCTGTTGTGCACTTTAAGGTAATATTTGCTGAGGAAGGTTTTATGACATGTGGGGCACTCGACCGGCACCGCTGTACCTTTTCTGCTCCCCGGCGCCTTTCCCGGAGCGGGGGGGCTCTTTTTGCTCCGCAGCACCTTTTTCTCGGGAAGGGGCTCGGCGTCG